TGAGGATGTTCTTTCTTCTCTTTTCCCCCTTTTTTTACCCCATTCCTTTTCCTTCAGATTATTTTGCCTTTTCTTTCATCTTTACCTGGTGGAAGGAGTTACTGATAATAGTCTAAGACAATTTTACATATCCTCCCAAACCTAGGGAATATAACGACATGTGAGGGCTTTTCCTTTTTCCCTGTGCACAAAATCCAGTCAGGATTACTCATATTTTCTCAAGGCTAAAGGTATCCTAGGTGTTGAGGTGACATGATGGATGGAGCGAAGATGAGGTCTGAAAGGATCAGTGAAACTGGCATTTCTGTAAAAGATGGATGAAGAATTCCCTTATTCACAAAAAGTACCTGACAGGTTGCTTTTTTTCCTCACCCATGTGAAGGAAGAAGAAACCTGGAGTGAGAAACCTGCCTCCAGTGAAAACAACAGCAGGACTGCTGCCAATGGCAGCCAAGGCAGAACATTTTTGGGGACACAAAGATGATCCGAGGGCTGAAGCAACTCTCCTACAAAGACACACTGAGAGAGCTGGGGTTGTTAAGGCTGGAGAAGAGAAGGCTCTGTGGAGACTTCATTGTGGCCTTCCAGTACCTAAAGGGGGCTTATAAGAAGAAGAGCGATGTTTTACACAAGCAGATAGTGATAGGACAAGGGGGAATGGCTTTAAAATTAAAGAGGAGAGATTTAATTAGATGTGAGGAAGAAATTCTTCCCTGTGAGGATGGTGAGGCCCTGGCACAGGTTGCCAAGAGAAATTCTGGCTTCCCTCTTCCCTGGTAGTGTTAAAGGTCAGGTTGGACGGGGCTTGGAGCAACCTGGCCTAGTGGAAGGTGTCCCTGCCCATGGCAGGGGGATTGGAACTAGATGATTCCATGATTATTGCTGGAGCTGCCACAGCTGCTGCCTGCCCACGTCTCTGCCAGGGGTGCCGTGAGGTGGGTGTACTTTGCCAGCCCCATTCAACATATTAGAAAGACACCGTATTAGAAAGAAAACAGGAATGATAATATTCATTTTGCTGTCCATCCTTCTGATGTAAGGTGTAAATACAGCTCGTCCAGAGTGAGGAGATGCTTTTGTACAGAGACCTGAGTTTGCTGTTGGCCCGGGCAGGGCATTGCTGTAGCCATGTGTGCAGGACACGGATGGCCTGGGCACCATCTGCTTGGGCATGGTCATAACTTCCCTCCTTGGACATCCAGGCAAAGCAGGGCACTCATGTGTGTATTCCAGATTCAACTTGAAGCTAGGAAACATCAACATTGGCAAAAGGGGCTTATTTGGAGTTGTGAATGTAGGTCATGCTGAAGATCAGCGACCTACATTTCCCAGGTTTGGAACTGCAGAGTAAAGTAACAGTTGTTGAGCCCCACAGCTGTCCTGCTGCTGTCCCTGCCATGGGGGAAACCAACCTCCAAGGTCCAGAACAGAAGGGAGATGGAGTATTTTAGGGAAAACTGAGGTGCGCTGGGCTGGCTTGGAAACACAGTTTGTAAGCCAGTATTGTATTTGTGCTGAAAGGGCTGTGAGCACCTTGGAGTAGCCATGGGGTGTGGAATCAGGGGTGTTGGTGGGATATGTCCATCTCATCCTTTCAGCAACAGTCAAGGCTCAGCACTATGGGAAAAGTTAAAAGTCTTGCCCTAGGCAAGCAGGTTGTCTTTATCACAACAAAGAAGTGAACCAGGATCTCTCCCTCGGGAGCATGAAATGATGAGTCCTGCTCCCCTCTCTGAATCACAGCTCTGTGTTTCCCTCCCACCTGTTGCCTCCAGGCCCATGTTCTGCCCTGCTGCTGCTCCTGCCACTCCTCGGGCTCTCAGGCACCCAAAAGCCAAAACACTGGCTTGAAATGGTTTGAAAAGATCTCAAATGAGGCTTGTTTGTTTATTCATTAGTACTTTGTTGTGTTTTATGTAATATTGTCTCCTAATTAACTGAGCATCTCAGTGGACAGATATTTACACACTACTCTGCACATCCTGACACCTGTAAGGTCTTTAGTTTGGGGTTTGGAAGTGGCAAATGAGCATGGACTCAGACTCAGGAGCTGGAGCTGCAGAAAAAAACCACTCTTTGAAGGTACAGGAGGCTCAAAGGAGGATCATGGTCTTTGCAGAGGTGTGCTCAGGTTGTAAGGGCATCACATGAGAGCCAGAGCTACCATACCTGGTCCAAACACATCCTCCTGGGTACGTGTTTGATGCTGGAGAGCCAGACATGCTGGATTTCAGGCTGTGTGGAGGTCAGGAGCCAGGGCACAAACAGTCTCCTGGCAGGTTTGGGCAATTAGCAGCCCTTTTTGAGTCCCCAGCAGCGTGTGTGCTGCAACCTCTGTGCAACCTGTTTAGTCTCATCCAGCTTTTCAGCACTTGCAATTGCCAAAGCCTTAGCAGGGGATCAAGTGTTAGATCCCCTGTTCACCTGCCTTGACGTTAACTGAAGAATTATTAGTATAATAAACATTTAGCTTGTTTTTTTAAGCCTCGGTGTAGAACATTTTGTAGAATTTGACTGCAAATCCGAACCCTGTGGCTTTTGTCAAAATACTAAATACTGAATTCTCCGCTTGCCTCCCTTCTGACATCATTAATGATAATAATCATCCCCCACAGCTGCTAATCCTCTTTGCAAAACGCTCTGCCGAGAGCTGGGATGAGTCTCCTCTGCCCAGCACATTCTGCAGTCATTTGTATCCATTCGATATGACCATGGAAACGACCTGGTGGGACTTCAAACTGATGTAAATGACCATGGAAGATGGAGGCCAGCAGAGACAAGCACACACTGACCAGGGATGGCTTAACCAGTTAGTGAAGTTTAGTGGCCTTGGAGTGGCTGCTGTCCTTCAGCATGGAGTCAGCCGTGACTCGCTCTTCATGTGAGGAAAATCATGGCAGAAGGCAGAGTAAGGATCATTCTTGAATCCTTTCTCAAGGATTCAGACATCCTAACTTGATTTTATTTTTAACCAGGGCAAAATCTAGTCCAGTCTCTGTGTTGGAAACACACCCAAGCAAACAGAACCTGCAGGTGATTAGCCTGACCCCCTGCCTGAGAAACCGATTTATTTTTCACATCTATCTTCTCTTGATGTGCAGGCGTTAAGTCTCAGCTCACTTCATGTCCCTCTTTAAAATCACTTCTGAAGTGATGGGTCCCCTCAGACTAACACTAAAGGGATGATTGTAGTATCTCTGGGACAGCCTTTGCCATGGGCTCACATTCATCAAGCACCAGTTATGGTGCAAATTCAGCCTCACAAGAGAATGGCAAGACCTCAAATACTCCCTTGTATAGCGGTAACAGGGAGCTTTTATTTAATGCTCTCCAGCAATCTGTCTCTGAGAGCTTTAACAAGGTGGGCTACTCTTTCTCTCCTCCTTTGAAAAATCAAGAGCTGCAGAACAGACAGTAAATTATGTCCTCAAGTTTGCACATTTTAAGGGCTGCCTGGTACCATGAAGAAAATAATTCCCATTAAATACACTTCTGATGAAATTTTCAATTCTGGGTGCTTGAAGTTTTCCATGGGAACAACATGATTTTTGCAGATGTTCTTGATTGAGAAAAAACAAATCACATCAAGATGACCCTACCAGCAAATTCCAGGCATGTTAATCCAATCTGTGAGGTGTCTCATGGAACCCACAGCCCCACAGAGAAGCAGAGGAGCACCAGGGTATGTTAGATTCAAATTGTGATATCAGTGGGGCATTTCATCAACAATTTCATCAACACGGGTGGATGTTGAACAGGCTGGAAGTTTTTAGTAATTCCTAATCCCACCCTCAATGTGTATTTGTGTCACTTTCTCTTCTGTGAACTTTGTGGCTTTTGTCTTCATTCCTCAAATAAGCAAATGCTGAGACGCTGCAATGGGAATGCTCTTCTCCTGCCTGGTGGGTGGGGTGGGATTAAAGTGGCAGAGGGTTGGAGCACATGGATTTTCCTGCTCTAAAAAAGAGCAAATTTGTGCCCTGTCTCAGAGTTCTGAGCTTCCCACTTGCTCAGCTTTATGGTAACTATTGAGGTGTCCAAAGGGAAATAGCTTTTCCTTGCGATCTGTAGAAGATTACTAGTCTGGGTCCTCCAGCCTTTCCCGTTTTCTCCCTCCTGGTTTATCACAGCCCTGAGACAAGGTCTACAAGACTCATTTTTCTTTTTTGAAATGCCTCGTGGTCCTTTCACCAGCACGTTGTAAAACCTTATCGTAAATAATTAAAACTACAGCTGTCAAAATAAACGGCTGAAGTCCATTTTGGCAATGCTGTGAAATATTATCCTACCGGGGAAGGGGGGAGGGGGTTGGATTTTTGCTGGCAGCCTGAGCCTGGCAGTGCCCTGTAATCAGCAATGAGTTTCTCAGTCATTAGTTCAAATTAGAGCAGCTCTGATGACAAGTCGATGGCAACTCCAATGGCTGAGAAAGGTGCAGACTGACCCTTATCACAAGCAGAGCAGAATGGTTTATTTTGTCCCGATTTCTGAACAGGGGAAGGGCACAAAGCAGTTGTGTAACTCTGGGTAATGGATGGGTTGGCAAGCAGGGGGTCTGGGGCCAGCAGTGAGCACGTGGCTCTGGTCAGAGAGGCAGAAATTTCATCAGGAGCCAGCAAACTCCTGGGATCTGGAGAGCCTGCAACCTCCACGTGCTCTGCAGATCATGGTCCCTCAGTGCCCTTTCTTTAGACTTCCTTTCAGATCCACCTTTTCTTCATTGCCTGCCTCCAAAACAGAGCTAGGGAGACATTTTTCCTGCAAGCAAATACATGTTGAGCTGGACAAACAGAGTGATGTAATGTGTGCAGGCAGGGTTTGCAATGTGAGCATCCAGCTTAAACATGGCAGGACTAGATGGAGTATCAGTTTTCATTTGGGTCTTGCTGAAAACTGCTGGGGGGGGTCTCTGGCTTTTAAGGTCTCTACTCCCAGAAGTACAGCAGCAAGAAAAAGCTCTTAAGATCTCCTGAACCTCTGGTTTCTCTCCCACCCATCAGGCTCACCCCGAGGAGGATTTCCTACCTGGTAATTAAAAGTGAAGGTCCTGATCCAGGAGCTGCAGCCAAGGAGGAGACAAAAGTAAGATAGGAGAGGGAGTGGGATATGAGATCCAGGTGAAAGCTGAGCTTTTCAGGGACGGGAAAGAGGGATGCTGTGAGCTTGCATAGCTTTTTTTCACAGGTCATGTGGTATGTGGGGGTTTTTGAAGTCACAGCTCTTGAACCTGAGATTATTTGGGATGCTCAGCTTTAACAAACACAACAAAAGCTGTGAGTTTCTAGTCCTCATGTTTAGAGGGGAAAAGCTTGAAAAGAGACCCTGAGAACATAGCAAAATTAAAAATAGATAGCATACAAAAAGATTCCCACAGGTATTACTCCAACAGAAAGTTATTTGGGATGAAGATTGAACTTTGGATTTATCAGCTTGAGCATTTGTACTTATTTTTTAGGACAGAGAAGCAAATGGCAGGAGTCTTTGATGGGTGTTTACCATGTCCTCCTGCCTCTACCCTGGGATGTGATGACCCATCTGGGATGGAAGTGAATGTCCCCAGGTCTTCTGATCCCCCAGGTCTGGCAGAGGCTGGGACTGTCTGCCACACCTCTCTGTCCAGCTGCTGCCACATGGAAAGGATCTTTTGGTATGATAAAAGGATCAGACCAGAGATCCAGGAGCCAGGAAACTTGGAGTTTGTCCCTGCCACTAACCTTGCTGCCTGATCTGCATTGGGTCACTCAGACCAAACCACCCTGACCCTGTAACACCAAAACATTCTGTGCTGCACTTGGACAAATGGTTTGTAGAAATACAGAGCACCCACTGTCACTGCACACCAAGCTGTATTTTGAAGTGCTGGCATTTAGCTTTGGAGATGACAGCAAACCCCTCTGTGGCTCTGTTTTCCTTCTCTGAGGAGTGCAGATAATGGCATTGGCTCATCGTCACAAATTGCATTGAGCCCTTTGTCCAAGGTGGGAGGGGATGTTTTTCAAAGAGCCTCAGGCATTTGGAAGCGTAAGTCCTGGTGAAAATCACTTTGCAATTAGTCTTATATGATTTTTCAAATTATTATTTCCCTGCCGGAGGGTGAGGTCTCATTCCTTGCACAGAGCTACTGCTTTTGTTTCGGAGCAGGAGCTTTTGCTTGCAAAGGTTTTTCCCACTTCCTACCCAGCTGCTAAACAAGCCTTTCTCCAGGTCCTGCAGACCTGAGGCTGGACCCCCATGTCATGGCTCCTGTACCCTCATGGAACTGACCTCTGGGCACTGCTGGTGCTGCTGCCCTCTCAGCCAGGAACATCCCAAATCACTGTTGCTCTCAGATTTCTGTCCCTTCACAGATCTGGCTGAACCCTTTCAGGTGGCTTTTAAATGCCACCTCCCCTGGGACTTGTTAAAGTGCTTCATCAGTGCCCATCTTCCTCTGCAGGGATGACCTTTAACTCATCTGCTGTTGCTACCTGACTTGGATCACCTCAGAAGAAAGGTTGCCATGGCGATTTCATATTCAGCTCAGCCAAAAAAACACAGCTTCTGTATCTTATTAAATGCTGCCTTTTGAGGACTCTACACATGGAGAGATAAGGCCAGGGGTTGCCTGAGTTGGCTGTGGCCAGGAGTTTGGTCACTGGGAGTTTCCCCACCAGCCAGCAGAGCTGTTCCTTACCCCTTTGCCAAGCCCACTGGGTTGTTTTGATTTTTTTTTTCCCCTGTTAGGGTATAAGCTGGGGGTTTGAAGCCATTAGCAGTGCTATGAAAACACTCCTCTGCCAAATGTCAATCTGCCTTTTCAAGGGGATTTTTCACTGCTCTAATCTAAACTGTGCTGTCAAATGTCAGGAGCGGATGTTTAATGAGGACCTGTTGGAAGCCCTAATTGGATGGGTATTCAATGGGCTTCTTTTTTTTTTGTTTTTGTTTTATCCTTGGGACTCTGTTTTCACAGAGATCCTCGTTAAATTTTAGAAGCTAATCTCCGTTTAAACTACAAGCTCAGGGAACCCTGGTCCTTGGGGGCTACTGGGAGCCACGGCTGCTGTGGGCTTTCACTGAATTTGTCTGGAAGGCAGAGAGAAAACCAATCCAGGATGTTTCTGCTGGAGCAACAAGGACCATTTTTGGCACATAGGCAGTTTTTTTCTTGCAAAAAGCATGGAGAAAACAGTCTAAAGGCACCACAGTTGTGGAAGAGATGGAGAAAGAGCCCAGGAATGCTGGGGTGATTGGCCAAGGGTCCCCTTCTCTGCTGAGAATGTGAACACACACAGGCACGAGGAAGGGGACCAGCTCACAGACATGTCCACTGCATTTACCTCCAGGTGGATTGGCCACCCCAGCAGTAGGCAGCAGAACCCTGATCCCTTCCAAGGCCATGAACCACACCAAACTCTCCTAATCCCTTAAAACCAGCCAGAGACAATGCCTGCACGCCCTGCAGCCACCTCTCCAGGCCTCATTAACTCCCTTCCATCCTGCACCAGCATTTCCCTGCTGTCTCCTCTGGCGGAGGCAACAGGTGCTGTATCATCTTGGAAATTATAGCTGAAACCCCTGTGAGCCAACCAAAGGTCATCCCAGCCCAAATCCAACATTCTCCTCATCCCACCTCCTGGCATGTGATCCTGCTCCCCATCCTTGGCATGCACCACGTTGTTGGCAGCCAGATGTACCTGATTTGGAAACAGCCGCTCGGCAGATCCCTGTGGCAGCATGGAAACACCCCCTGCACTTTATTGTCTGTGTGCCACGTGCTTCCTAACAGGAGAACCTTTCCCAAAGGGTTTATTTCTCCATGTGAACTCAGTGTCTTGAATGTCTTTACACAAACAATCATTCTTTGATTTTCTTCCCTCCCCCCCGCCTTCAAAACAATTTATAATGGATGATTGTTAAAACATCCTGGTTTCCTGGATGTCGTGGTTTTATTACATTTTTAGTTAAAATCTTGGGAAGACCATAAAAGACACATCACAGACGCAAGTGTTTCAATATCCCATTTCACATTAAGCACCCATAAATACCCACACATCCCTTCAGCATCCCCCTGCCCTCTTTGCCCTGCATCACACTCAGGGCTCCACGCCTTTAACAGATCCTTTGGTTTGGAACTGGCTCCTATTCCAACACACATGTAACACCTTCTCTCCATCTCTAATTGCCTTTCATTTCACACATGCAATTACCAAAATGACCTCGTCCAAAAATAAACCACAGAATGTTCAGAGCTGCCTGGCTCCTCAGGCGGTTTTCAGCCAAGAAATTTGTTCCCTCTTGGTCTCTCCTGGGAAGCCCAGGAAGAGACTGGCGTGCTTGTAAATCTGCCCCTTCCATAAAATCCTGAGAAAAGATGCCGTGAAGCCCGCACTTGAGGCAGGTGAGACGCACAGGTTCCAAATCATAACGCCTACCCAGTCATTTCTAGGCATTTGTTATGGTGTCTTAAGTCAGCAACCTCAACAACTCCCCTGGTCTCCAGCCAGGAATAAAAGTGCTGAAGGAAACCAGGCTGCGGTAATTTCCCCAAACCCCAGAGCTAACAGGCATGGTAATTAATTAATTTAGTGGAGAGAGGTTTTTTTTCTGCTATGAGCTCTCCCAGGGGCTGCCACAAAAGCCCACCTCCTTGGCGGTCATCCCATGGCTTTAATCATGTGTCCCACACAATTCTGCTGGGGGATTCGGCAGCAGTTCTTCCATCGTGGTGCCTGAGATTCAGCCTCTGAGGCCCATCCTTTGAAGCAGAAATGTGACCTTCTGAAGAGATGGATGCTGATGGGCTCAGTGGAAGCTGCCTCTTGATTTCAGTGAGGTCAGGATGAGTCCCACCACACGCTGGCTTCTTGATGCAAGAAACAGCACAGCATGTGAGGGCTTGGAGTCTTTTGGGGCTAATTATTTGTTTTAAAGAAAAGAAAACATTCAAGTCCAGCGCTTGCGGTTAATATAGAGCTTGTAGGAGCAAAGTTCATTTTCCCTAGAGTTGTTTTAGTTATGGAAGAACTTCAAGAATTCTTTCTGCAGCTTCCTTGAATTTGTCATTGAAGGTTTCCTGAATTATGCCTGCAAACCTCTTTAAATCTGATCACAGATGGAGCATAAATGCCATGTTATTGAAGTTGAAGGACACAGCTTACTTTCTGGGGAATAAAACATTGCAGGAAGCTGATACAGAATCACTGGGATGGTTTTTGTTTTGTTTTCTTTTAAACATGTTTCCTTCAAAGCTTCCATCCACAACACAATACTCACCCACCCCCATAACTAATTCATTATTTTACAGCACGTAAAATCAAACAGGAGACAAATGACTGTTGTTTAGTGCCATTAGTTTCAATGGCTTTACACAATATTTGAGTCATTGGCTCGTCTATTGCTTTGGAGGAATCCCAAATCTGGATGAATCTACGTGCATTATAAACCATCCATGGGGCGAGGCCAGGCCTGCCTAACAGATGGAGGTCCATATGCTTTGGCTCTGCACCCATATGGAACACTAATATGCAGTCCAGGAATAGAGCATGCCTCTTCTCCTCTTCCCCAGTGATCTCCAATCCAAAGTCATTTCCAGACACAAGCCGAGTTAAGCAAGTTCGTCTGGAACCTGTGCAGTAAGACACCACAAGACTGATAGTCCAAGCATAATGTTTTCCTTGCTCTGTGGTTCCTGCAGAAGCCTAAATTGCAACATTTTCTAGAAAGTGGCATGTCAGGCTTTCCAGAGCACTAGTTAAAAACCCCATTACGCTGCTCTAATGTGCTTTAAACTTTGCTGCCTGGGTGTGCTGGTTTAAAAGTTAACCAGCAAGGCAAAATGAACTCAATTCAAAAGAGAGATTTATAAGTCAGAATAACAATTTATTAAAATAATGCAATAAGTACAATTATACAGACAGACAATTGGTTTTAATCCACAAAACCCAAATGTACAAACCCAGCACCCTGGGGTATGAACAAAAGTGGTGTACCTTGGCCCACCCCCCGAGTCCAAAGCAAAGGGAGAGGGAATAAACCTGCTGGTGGGAGAGCTGCTGCAGTCTGGTCAGAAGTGGTGATTGCAGTCCAGTCGAGGGTGGTGGTCTCAGCCTGGTTGGGAGCAGCGGTGGTCTGCTGTCTTCCTCTGGGTCCCACGAGAGAGAGCCCCAAGGCTCTGAAACTCCCAGTTATATACTCTCCAGTTCAGGCGGGAGTGCTCAGTCCCTCCCTCAGAGTAGGGAATTCCATAAAAGGGCATGCGGATGCTCAGTCCCTCTTCCATAAAAGGGTATTAGAGCAGGGAATTCCATATAAGGATATCAGAGCGGGGAATTCCATAAAAGGGTACAGGAACATCTTCCCACCTTGCAGGCCTCTACTGACAGCAGTTTTTGGGAAATGGCATGGAGGCTATAGAATACACAGTTTTGGGTTACACCCATCCAGGGATGAATTGGTCCCAGCCGTTCTAACCAGGACACTGGGTCACCCAAGAACACCGAGGGCTTCATCGACCCTCACTGGAGGAGTTTCTCCAGGCAGCCAAACCAGCAAACAGCTGAGGGTATTTTACAATGCCTGGGAGGTTTTGTTTCCTGGAGGCACAGGATTAGTATCAGATGGCCTGCCACCATCTCAGCACAGGGGGACTTAGCTTTTATTGCTGGCAGGATTCCTCCGGCCTCGCCGCCGGTTTGTTCTGGCCAGGCACTTCCAGGGGGGACACCATTCCCGACTGCTTTTCAGCATTCAAGGACAGTGTTTTTCCTGGTGCCTAATCTGGTGCTCAAACTCTGTGTTTTTCTCATGGGTACAACACAACAGATGCAGCTCAGTTCTGTTTTGAGGACGTGAACAGCAAATTCAGTGCCTGCACTGTGCAGTCTTCCAGGTGTTTGGTGTCTCCCTTAGGAT